CCGATGGGGAAGAAAGCAATTCAACGTGGCTGGATCCCTAGGATCAAAACTGACAACAAAGGAGTTGTGTCGGTTTACAAAACCAGTTTGGTAGCAAGGGGGTATCAACAAAGGGAAAGGGCGGACTACAAGGAGAAGTTTGCTGCAACTGCCAAGCCGCCAACACTTCGTGTTCTCCTCGCCGGTGCGGCCGTGTCCAAATAGACATCACTACAGCGTTCCTCTACAGGATTTCCACGTGATGCTGCGCCATCATTCTTATCCTCGGGTTTGCCTCCACGAGGGTCCATTTTTTAATCACCCACACTGCTTTCAACGCGGCTGCCAATCTCGTTCAGAGCCCTCCGAATAGATCTTACATCCTGATGGGTTCTGTAGGATGCGCTTCTTGCGGACTTCTCCCGGTATGGCTATTTTTCTTTCTGCCCAGACTTCTCGCTGATTTCGCTTTCGGAGCTCCTCGTCTGCCCCATACGAGCTCATTGCCCCCACCTCCTCTTCCAGATCCACCATTTGTGCCTGATAGGCGGCCTTTGGCTCTTGATGCAAGAAGCGCACTGGCAACATTCTGCTCGGCCCCCGCGGTATCCAGAATTGCGGCCGGTACACTACTTTCTCCTGCCACGTGCAGATCGTGGCTCCCACCGCGTACAACAACCTCATGCCCACCAACAGGTCATAGTCCTCGTATTCCATTACTCCGCACTGCAGCTTTATATTTCATTCATCTTTCTCTCCCGACTTTAGCATAATCTCCACAAGGCGTCGGGTGCAGAGAATCCACTTGGGCTCTCCCCCTTCAGCCGTGATAACTTGGAATCCCCGTTCTCTCAGGCGTCCTTCTTCGTACAGCAGCGTCTGCTCCACGAGCCCTTTCTAGATAAGCATGTGGTGTGCCCCCATGTCAATTACCTCCAGATCCAAGGGGATGCTTCCCATAGCGATCGCTTGTCGACTTGGCGCGGCTTCCTTTGCTGCCCTCGAGTAGCAGTCATCTGCTTTGTGCCCCCTTCTTCCACACTTCTCACAAGCTGGCACTCGCGGGCACTCTCTCTTCAGGTGCCCGCCTCTCCACATTCGTGGCACCTTTGGCTGCCTGTGCAACCTGTCTCTGGGCGTCTCCTCCGTGCATCGCTGCTGCTGCCCACGCGACCCGGGGCTTGCTCTTGAGCCCCCCCTCTTCCAGGTCTAACAGCCGGTGAGCGTGCTCAGTTCCCTTCGTGAGTTCGTACACCTGCTTCATTGTGATGTTTTCCCCCACCGCATACACCGCGCTTCGCACCGCTCCTTTCAGCTCCTCTTCTAGGCCCTTCACGAACCTCCTCACCAGGAGATGCTCGTCTTGATTCTCAAGGTCCTCCACCAGTTCTCTCTGCCAGTTCTTTTGAAGCTCTTGAACCCTCCAGTCGAGCCTTCGTTTGGCCCACGAATTCTCTCTTGAGCAGTTGTAGGAAGCGCTCCGTGGGGTCCCCAATCTCACCGTATTCCAGCTCCTCCAACACCTCTTTCCGCACCATTTGATAGAAGGTTTCTGCCTTTTCGGACAATGTGCTAACCAACTTTCTGAAGAATTCTACTAGGTCAAACCCGTCGCGTTCCCAATGTTATAGACACAGTAGGCTTGAATGTGCCTAAAACGAAAGATAGAGTGCACAGTCGGATTTCTACACAGCGGCTTCAAACGTTCATAGCGATCTGCTCACAACTCCAAATGACTTCATTCAACTTGGATCTGGAGCGCCTTAAAATTGCCTACAATAGGCAATTTAGATCGCACGATTTCATCAAGAATTGACGACACAGCGTCGGTTTTGAACGAACGGCACTATGGCAGCAACATAGTCTTAGAACACACAATTGGAAGAGTTGGCAAGAGTTACGAGTTGGGAATGACTCCCAGCTCCTACAAACCCCAAGAGCCGAGGTACAGTGATGTGGAACAGTGCCACACTGTCCCCAACCAAGAAGGGTCTCGAAACTACCCTTCACAAGGGCCTACACCAACTGAAATGTTACACTACACAAAGTAATGTAACTATCTTCAATATCTTGAGGTGTACCCTTTTGGTGAGCTTCGAAATCACTTGAAGCTTGCAACCAAGGCTCGGGTTCTTCATCACAAACTCATCCTCGAGTTCTTGATGGGTCTGCTGCACACACCTGCGACACGCCGAACGTTCGACAAGCGACAAAATAGAAACCGCGCACGACAAAATAGAAACCGCGCGGGACACACAAAATGACCGCGTTACACGCGACTAGCGATAATTCGCTATAGACTTGACACACACACACTCGACACCATGACCCATCATACACACACTATTATGAGCATGAAATATATGTTTATTTCATGCACTTATTCCATTCCATGCACACACGCATGCACGCACACGGACAACAAGCCGAGTGCAAACCGTAGGGTTGCACCAACACCCTTTAGTATTGAACCGTCTCCAGTTGCATCACATAGATTTTCACTGATGGCCCCATGTCTGGAATTCCGGTGAAATGCTCCTCGATCTCCACCTTGGGAATTCCGGACTCATGTGCTCTGAGCCATGCTCTACGCGCTCGGTTTCCCTGCTTATCACCAGTTCGTCTGGCGCCGCGGATATATCGTGAAGTCGCTGCACGTTTCTCGAACATGCGAGGCTCCCCCCTGCTTCTTTCCTTTGCATGCCCGGCATTTCTCCGATCAATTCTCCTTCGGGATTCGCGTTCGCTTGTTCCCGCGGTGCTGGGCCCCATGCTTCTATTGCCGGTGTCACTCCCAGATCTGAGACCGTCCTTCTCATCATCGTCTCTTGCTGTGTCTCGGCTTCCTTACGATGCTGCCGAGGTGTTCTGTAAACCAGCGACGCGCTGTAACGAGAATTCGGCAATTTCTTTCTCGCCACTCCGATTTGTGCATTGGTCGTCTCTGCTCGCCGGCTGGGCGTGGGTGTCAAAATAGATATATATATATTTAGTATAATCTGCCTGTAGTGTAGCTGTTGTGTAATTCCCTTGTATGGTAGTGCACCTCTTTCACCTTTGTTAGGTTGCTATATGTACTCGTGTGCTCAAGTGAACCCCCAACCTTTTGTCAGAATATTATGCTCTAGCCTGTAGTGGGGTGCTCTATAGCGAGTACAACCCTTCTAGGGTTTGCTATTTGTATCCTCATTCTTGCTAGTGCAACTCCTTCTTCTTTGCCTAAACTGTTTCTTGCCTAGCTAGGGCTTTCCTAGCTATGGCGCCCTCTTCTTCCTTTTAAACTTTCACATGCTATCAGAGCAGGTCGATCCCCTTGGATCGATCCTGTGGGTGGGATCACCACCTCGTTGCTTCCGCTGCAACTTCCACTGCTACCCTCTGTGCCGCACGCCCCATGGCGTGCGGCAGTTTTTCTTCCCGCCGTGCGCCCCGAGGCGCGCGGCGGTTTTCTGCCCGCCGTGCGCCCCGAGGCGCGCGGCGGTTTTCTGCCCGCCGTGCGCCCCGAGGCGCGCGACGGGTTTCTGCCCCGTCACTTGGCGCGTCGCCCCCAGGAGGCGCTACGACGGGCGACGGGGACCCGCGCGTCGCCCCCGTCGCCCGTCGTGGCCTGCGTGCGGCCCGTACAGCCGGCGCGCGGTTCGGGAGGCTGTGCCAGGCCCGTGGGCGGCCCGTTCTTCGCTGCCCCTGTCCTCCCCGCTGTCCCCCGTGCTTCTGAAGGCGCCCCACCCCTCCTTCTGCCTGTTCTCCTGGATTAGGGTTTGGGGGTGGGGGGTATGGGGGTGCAGCTTCTGTGTGCCGTTCCCTGCTCCTCCTCCTCCTCCGTCTCCCTGTGCTACAGCTGCCGCTGAAGGGGGGTGGACCTGTTGGAGCCGTCGGAGTGGTACTAAGGGGGGGTGAAGGGGGAGTGGAGCTAGGGGTGAAGCAGAGGGTGTGTGTCAGGGGGGGTGGTACTGTTTGGGGGAGGTTGAACGGAGGTTGCCGTCGTGTCGCCAGCAGCACCTGTAGTCCGGGGAGTTGCTCCGGTAGCCCAGTCGTAGCCACCTGTGCCAGTCGCCCGTGGGTCCGTTGCTCGTCTGCCGCTACTTTTAGCCGCAGGGCCAGTTACTCCAGTAGTCCGGAGCGCTGTTCCGGTAGCCGCTGTGCCAGTGTGCCTCCTGATGCCCGTGTGTCTGCAGCTTCAGCCGTCACCTCCTATCTCCTCTCCTCTCACTGTCCCTCCTCCTCCTCACTTGCCCGTTGTGACTACCACTAGCTTTGCTCATAATTGTGAACTTTAAACTATTGCTTCCTGAACTTGTGCTCAGAATGTGTGGTGACATTGTGATCCACCCTGAGCTTGTTCTGCTTTGCTTGCTCTGCTGATTACACCCCACTTTGGCTATGGGGGTGTGTCAGAATATTATGCTCTAGCCTGTAGTGGGGTGCTCTATAGCGAGTACAACCCTTCTAGGGTTTGCTATTTGTATCCTCATTCTTGCTAGTGCAACTCCTTCTTCTTTGCCTAAACTGTTTCTTGCCTAGCTAGGGCTTTCCTAGCTATGGCGCCCTCTTCTTCCTTTTAAACTTTCACACCTTTCTCGACATTCTCCTTGCACAAGCTACTCTCGACCCCCTTGGCCTAGGCTACTAAGCCTAGGCCCTAAGTTAAGACCCGGTTACCAGTTAAGAGCATATCGTGACATGGTATTGAGCTAGAGATTTCCTAGCCTGTCAAATACTATGGGCCCACCAACCCGTCTCGCTCACGTCCTCCGCTCGTAGCTAGTAAACCCGCACCGTCCGGCCACGGCTCGTGGCGTTTCGCCCATGGCGTACGTGGCCCATGGCGAGCACACCGACGGACCCGCCAGCGAGCCCATCGACGGACCCGCCGATGATTCCGCCAACGGACCCGCCAGCGAGCTCGCAAGCGGACAAGCGAGCCCGCCGGCGGATCCACCGACGAACCCGCCGACGGACCCGCCAGCGAGCTCGCCAACGGACCCGCGAGCCTGCCAGCAAGAGAGCCAACGGACCCGCCGATGGATCCGCCAGCAGACCCGCCAGTGCGCGCGTCAGCAAGCCCGCCGACAGACCCGCAAGCAGACCCGCCAGCAAGCAAGCCAACAGACCCGCGGACCCGCAAGCAGGAGAGCCAGCGGATCCGCGAGCCCGCAAGCAAGCGAGCCGATGGACCCGCCGTCGGACCCGCCGGCAGAACCCCACCGCCTGAACGCTCCCCGCCGTCCATGCGCACCCTCGTCGCCCCCCCCACTACTGTGCCTGCCTGCTGTCGTGTTTGCGCAACAGTGGAAGGGGTGGGGGGGAAGGCGGCGAAAATGGAGGTGGCGGCTCAGGGGGGGGGGCTATGGGGGGTGTGAGGGGGTGACAACAGTTTCACCTGCAGCAACTGCAGCCACACCTCCTCCTCTCTCTCTCTGGTGCTGCTGCTACTGCTGTGGGGGGGAAGGTTCAAGGGGTGTGGGTGGTGAAAGTCCAGCTGCAGCGTCAGCAACTGCCGCCTCCTCCTCCTCTCATCTCCTGTCATGCGCCTCCCGTGCTCCCGTGATCCAATGCTACTTGTGCTTCTTGTGCTTCTCGTGTTGCCCCATGGTCCTGTGCTGCCCCGTGTTGCCCGTACTTCCCCATTGCTTGCCCCGTGCCCATGCCCGTGCTGTCCGTCCATGTTCTCCGTGCTTGCCCCGTGCCCATGCCCGTGCTGTCCGCCCGTGTTCCCCGTGCCCGTGCCCGTGCTGTCCGTACCCGGTTGTGCCCCACCAGTCTCACCCGTGCTGTCCGTACCCGGTTGTGCCCCACCCGTTTCACCCGTGCGTCCCGTGCTTCCCGTGCTGCCCTCGTCCTTCCCGTGCTGCCCCGGTGTTCCCGTGCTGCCCCCGTGTTCCCGTGCTGCCCCTGCGTTCCCGTGCTGCCCCCCATGTTCCCGTGCTGCCCCCGTGCTCCCGTGCTGCCCCGCTCTCCCCGTGCTGCCCCGTTCTGCCTGTGTCGTGCCCGTTCCCGTGCCGTGTTGCCCCGTTCAGCCCTTGTCCTGCCCCGTTCTGCCTGTGTTGCCCCGTTGTGCCCGTGTTGCCCCGTTCTGCCCGTGTTGCCCTGTTCAGCCCATGTCCTGCCCCATTCAGGCCGTGTCCTGCCCCGTTCTGCCCGTGTTGCCCCGTTCAGCCCGTGTCCTGCCCCATTCTGCCCGTGTTGCCCCGTTCTGCCCGTGCTGCCCCGTTCTGCCCGTTTGTGCCCTACCCGTGCTGTCCGTACCCGTTCGTGCCCCACCCGTTCTGTCAGTTCTCGCTCGTGCTGCCCGTCACCCCCGTGCGGCCCGTCCCGTACAGCACCTAGTTGCTACCGGAACACGCAACCCATACCCGTGCTCCTCGCACACCGTGCACCTGCTGCGGGGCGTTCAACCGCAGCCGGGCACCTGTTCCACCGCGGTGGTTCAGATGCTGCTGGTAGTTGCTGCTTGTCAGCTTCAAAGGGGGCCCCTTGCTGGTGTTCCCACGCCCTGTAATGGGGTTTTACAGGTGTACCCCTTCAAGGGGGGCTCTGCACATGGTTATGTACTTCAGGCAGATAGGGGGTGTGTCAAAATAGATCTGCCTGTAGTGTAGCTGTTGTGTAATTCCCTTGTATGGTGGTGCACCTCTTTCACCTTTCTTAGGTTGCTATATGTACTTGTGTGCTATAGTGAACCCCCAACCATTCTCGACATTCTCCTTGCACAAGCTACTCTCGACCCCCTTGGCCTAGGCTATTAAGCCTAGGCCCTAAGTTAAGACCCGGTTACCAGTTAAGAGCATATCGTGACAGTGGGTTCCACTCCGGTTTCTCTGGGCGGAGCGTAGCTGAATCCCGATCGTAACCTAACGTGATCTGACATTGCTTTGTCAGTTTTCCTTGTTTGTTTCTAGTGAGAATGTCACTCTGGTTCAGCCAAGGTTGGGATGCTCTACTTGCTCGGCACGCTCAGTCGAGCAATTCTGAGTGTTGACACTTACTAGCTTGTCTGATCTGGCTTCACTGGCTAGTGGTCACAGTATGGGTACGGCTTTGGTTGCAACAAGCTGTATGTCCTAGCATACTCCTACTCCTAAGTGTCTCTTTTACAACCGTTGTGAGCAACGGTTGAGTCACTTGGCTCCGCCTGCTAGGTTCTCCGGCTCCTTCCGTGCAGCCTCACTTTGGTTTCCCTCCCTCCTAGTCATTTTACGCGCTCCGCCTCTTCAGATTTTGGACGGCCTTCTTGACATGTTCCCCTATTGCTCAACTCGATCTTGTTCTAGCTACTGTCACTCGTTTGTATATAGTTTGCTATCGTGACTACACATGCTACGGGTGACACTATCTGTTAGAGACTAAGGACGAGGTCTACGAAGATTAGGGGCCTGAATATCTCAAAATCGCTGGGCCTAGTTCCTGGACAGAAACTTCGAGTTCACAAGAAACGCCATCGACGAACGGTGCACCATCAAAACTTCACCAAACTCAGTTATGTTGTAGCCCTAATCCGTGGCTACAATTCCCAATTTGAATCGTACAATAAGGTGAAGTATTTCTTGAGTTATGAATTTCGGCGCACTAGGGGGTAAACTGCCATAGAATCTTAACTCAATCACAATTGTCTCACAATTACCACACAAGGAAGTTAGAGTAGCAATTAACCAGGTGGGAGGGGAAGAGGAGGACGAGAGGGAAGGTCCCCAAGGAGTCCCCAACCAAGGAAACCCCATAAGCACATCAAATCCCTTCCCTATAGGAACCCCACTTTGACCTTTGTCCATTTCCCAACCTCCACAATCCACCCCACCCAAGTTGGCCACACTTGCCAACCCAATTTGGTTTCTCCCAACCACTTGGCAGCATCTACAGTGATGGGGACGAATTTCCCAACCCCCAAAAGACTGTACCCCTTATGGAGTCAACCCCACAACTTCCCATAGTCACCACAACCAAATATCAAAAGCATACGAACTTCAAATGTTCGTAACTTTCTTGTTCGTGCTCCGATTGAAGCGATACTTGGCTCGACGGAAAGCTCTTGAGTAGAGGAGTCACTTCATATATCTGCTCAAGCCAAATAACATTCACACACACTCAGAAAAACCAAACCACATCAAACACAAATTCTTGCACACGCTCACACCACGCATGCAACGCACGAACATATGATGGGAGGCAGACAGACGTGAATGCAAATGACAGCATCACATAACAAACTCCCCCTCTGGCTGCCTACCATCATCCCACATGCCACAATTCATGCACGCACCCTCAATGCACACTCATTCCAGCAAGCTTCATGCCCTTCCAATGCTCAGGTTCAGCCAGGCGCTTGGTGAGAATGTCAGCCGCCTGCTGATGGGTCTTCACAATCTCCAGTCGCACCTCCTTGTCCAGGAGCCTCCTCACCCAGTGCCACTTGGGCCTGATGTGCTTTGTCAGCCCATGAAGGCAGGCGTTCTTGGCAAGCTTCACTGCCGACTCATTGTCACAGAACATCACAGTTGGCTCCCTCTGACCAACTCCAATCTCCTCCAACAAACGCCTCAGCCATACCACCTCCTTTGCCCCATGATGCAGAGCCATGTACTCTGTCTCACATGAGGACTGCCCCACCTCGTTCTGCTTCTTGCTGCGCCAGCTCACTGCACCACCACCAAACAGGCACACATAGCCTCCAATGCTGGTGCCATCCGTCTTCACAGAGACGAAGCTAGCGTCAGTGTAGCAGTTCAGGAGCATCTCCCCCTTGCTCAAATCAGCTGCACCCCTCTGCAGCCTCTGTCGTACAGCACTGTATGTCAAACATTATATGTTCATATTGTGTAGGCTATAGTGGGTTTAGCCTTAGGGGGTACAGATTTGTTAGGGTTTCCTACTTGTATCCCCCTCCTACCTAGTTTCATCCATTCTCGTTCTATTCTAGATTCTAACATGGTATCACGAGCCTAGGTTGCTACCTAGGACCGCTTTCTACTATGGGCCCACTATTCCGCTAGCAGCGCCCGCGTGCGCCCTACCTTACGTGCGCCCTCGTGCGCCTTTCTCTGCTAGTGCGCCTTCGTGCGCCCTCGTGCGCCCTCGTGCGCCCTCGTGCGCCTTTCTCTGCTAGTGCGCCTTCGTGCGCCCTCGTGCGCCCTCGTGCGCCCTCGTGCGCCTTTCTCTGCTAGTGCGCCTTCGTGCGCCTTCGTGCGCCCTCGTGCGCCCTCGTGCGCCTTCGTGCGCCCTCGTGCGCCCTCGTGCGCCCTCGTGCGCCCTCGTGCGCCCTCGTGCGCCCTCGTGCGCCCTCGAGCGCCCTCGTGTGCCCTCGAGCAGCCCCTGCAGGTCCGTCAGCCCCCCGAGCCGCCTCTGCAGACCCGTCAGGCCCCCCCCGAGCCGCCTCTGCAGGCCCGTCAGGCCCGAGAGCCGCCCCTGCAGACTCGTCAGGCCCGCGCGCAGCCTCTGCCCGACCGCGCGCCGCCCCTGCAGGCTCTCGCCGCCCGCCGCGTCGCCCTGCCCGCGGCGTCGCCGCTTGCCCGCGGCGTCGTCACCTGCCCGCGACGTAGCCCCTGCCCGCGGCGTCGTCGCCTGCCCGCGGCGTCGTCGCCTGCCTGCGGCGTCGTCGCCTGCCCGCGACGTAGCCCCTGCCCGCGGCGTCGTCGCCTGCCCGCGGCGTCGTCGCCTGCCTGCGGCGTCGTCGCCTGCCCGCGACGTAGCCCCTGCCCGCGGCGTCGCCACCTGCTCGCGGCGTCGCCCTGCTCGTGGCGTCGTCACCTGCTCGCCGCGTCGCCCTGCTCGCCGCGTCGCCCTGCTCGCGGCGTCGTCACCTGCTCGCCGCGTCGCCCTGCCCGCGGCGTCGTCACCTTCCCGCCACGTCGCCCTGCCCGCGGCGTCGCCACCTGCCCGCCGCGTCGCCCTGCTCGCCGCGTCGCCCTGACCTAATCCGCGCCTGGCCTCTGGAGCAGCCGCCCCTGCAGCAGCCGCCCCTGGCCACTGGAGCAGCCGCCACTGCAGGAGCCGCCCCTCGCCCCTGGAGCAGCTGCCCCTGCAGCAGCCGCCCCTGGCCCCTGGAGCAACCACCGCTGCAGCAGCCGCCCCTGGCCCCTGGAGCAGCCGCCACTGCAGCAGCCGCCCCTGGCACCTGGAGCAGCTGCCGTCGCGGCCCGGCCTCGCCGTGCAGCAGCTGCCGCGGAGCTCCCTGCCGCGGCCCGGCCCCGCCCTGCAGTTGTAGCGGCCCCGCTGTCGCCACCGTCTTGCGCCTGCCGCGCCGACCACTGGTGAGCATTGCCCTGCCAGCACTGCTACCGCTGCTACTGCTGCTACTGCCTTTTCTACTCCCACTGCTACTGCTCCTGCTGTTACTGCTGTTACTGCCGCTACTGCTACTACTGCTACTTCTGGCGTGGCCAGATGCAGCTCCAGGGCCGTGCGCGTGAGTCCCTCACGCCCCAGCAGCTTCGTGAGTGGTACGCTAGTTGGGGCTGTCGGGGTGGCCGTAGTGGTAGTCGCTCTGGAGTGGGTCGGTCGGGAGCTTCTGGTAGTGGACAGGTGCAGCTGCCGTGTCCTCTTTCGCCCCAGCAGCTTCGTGCGTGGTACGCTAGTTGGGGCTGTCGGGGTGGCCGTAGTGGTAGTCGCTATGGAGTGGGTCGGTCGGGAGCTTCTGGTAGTGGACAGGTGCAGCTGCCGTGTCCTCTTTCGCCCCAGCAGCTTCGTGAGTGGTACGCCAGTTGGGGCTGTCGGGGTGGCCGTAGTGGTAGTCGCTCTGGAGTGCGTCGTTCGGGAGCTTCTGGTAGTGGACAGGTGCAGCTGCCGTGTCCTGTGAGTGAGGCTGCCGCTCTAGGTGCTAGTGTGTCTGCTACCCCAGGTGCTGGTGAGGCTGCTGCTCTAGGTGCTAGTGAGTCTGCGCCCCCTGGTACTGAGTCGACTGAGGCACTGCACACCTTCACTCTGGACTCAGGTGCTTCTCGCTGTTTCTTTCGTGACCGCACTGCCCTTGAGCCGCTTGCTCGGCCAGTTGCTGTCTCCCTCGCTGGCCCCTCTAGGGGTCCGGTCATTGCGACCTCCTCCACTGTCCTTCCTTGTCCTGCGGTCCCGTCGGGCACACTGTCAGGTCTCCACCTCCCCTCGTTCTCTACGAACTTGGTGGCGGGTTGTGCGCTCCAGGACGGGGGTGTTCACCAGTTCACCCCTGCCTACGAGCGCGTGACACACTGCACGTGTGCTCGGACGGGCCGTCACCTGGCTACCTTCACTCGGCAGCCGGGGTCGGACCTGTACACACTGACCACTGAGTCCCCTCAGGTAGCTGCGTCTGCGTCTGCGTCAGGTCAGCCGTCGGCCCCCTGCTCGTGTCGCTCTCTGGCACACGAGACCGTCCTCTGGCACCACCGACTTGGTCACCCGTCCGTGCAGCGCCTTCGTGCCATGCACAATTGGTACCTTGTCTCTGGTCTTCCCAGGGTTCTCCCTCCCCTCCCACCCTCGCCTGCTCCTCCCTGTCTTCCCTGTGTCGAGGGGCGGCAGCGCGCCGCTCCTCACTCCTCCTCGTTTCCCCCGACGACTGCTCCCTTGCAGACGCTCCACATGGACGTGTGGGGCCCAGCCCGCGTCCGTGGTCAGGGTCAGGAGAGGTACTTCCTGATAGTTGTTGACGACTACTCGCGCTACACCACGGTCTTCCCCTTGCGCACCAAGGGTGAGGTCCCTGATGTTTTGATCCCTTGGATCAGCGCTTCTCGTCTCCAGCTCAGCGAGCGTTTCCACTCGGACTTTCCTGTCCTGCGCTTGCACTCTGACAGAGGTGGTGAGTTCTCCTCCGACCTCTTGGCAGCCTACTGTGCGGAGCACGGCATCCGCCAGTCGTTCACGCTTCCGGCCTCTCCACAGCAGAATGGGGTTGCTGAGCGCCGCATTGGCTTGGTCATGGAGGTCGCTCGTACCTCCTTGATCCATGCGGCTGCCCCCCACTTTCTGTGGCCGTTTGCAGTCCGATACGCTGCGCATCAGCTCAACCTCTGGCCTCGTGTCTCCGTTCCGGAGACTTCGCCGACACTGCGTTGGACAGGAGAGGTTGGCGATGCGTCACGCTTTCGGGTCTGGGGATCTCGAGCCTTTGTTCGCGATACGTCCGCGGACAAGCTCTCCTCCCGCGCTGTTCCTTGTGTCTTCCTTGGCTTTGTCCCGGACGCGTCTGGTTGGCAGTTTTACCACCCCACCTCGCGCCGTGTCCTGCCCTCTCAGGACGTCACTTTCGACGAGTCCGTCCCCTACTACCGCCTCTTCCCCTACCGCACTGCCCCGATTCCCCCCCCGCCTCTCTTCCTCGCGCCAGGTGCTGCTGTGGTAGACCCCCTCCCCCCTCAGGGTGCCGCTCCCTCAGGTGTGTCCCAGGTAGACCCGGTTGAGCCTGTCGAGGTAGCTGTCGACTCTCGTCCTGCTAGGGGTGCTGAGCCTGAGGGTGCTGAGCCTGAGCGTGCGGAGCCTGGGGGTGCGGAGCCTGGGGGTGCGGAGCCTGGGGTTGCGGAGTCTGGGGGTGCGGAGCCTGGGGTTGCGGAGTCTGGGGGTGCTGAGCCTGGGGGTGCGGAGCCTGCGGGTGCTGAGTCTGGGGGTGCTGAGTCTAGAGGTACTGAGCCTGGGAGTGCTACACCTGGAGGAGCTCTCTCCTCACAGCAGCTGCGTGAGTGGTACTTACAGTACTGCAGCCTCAGGAGAGGTGCTTCTGGAGCCAGGAGTACTGCTGGAGCTGGTGCTAGTGCTTCCCCTCCTAGGCGGGAGCTGCCCTCTCCCCAGCGGCTCCGAGAGTGGTACGCACGGCGCTGCAGTCTTCGGAGTGGCGCTCCTAGTGTCGCGGACCCAGCTGCTGGAGGTTCTGCTGCTGGCGGTGCTTCTGGCGCTGCTGGAGGTGCTGCTGGTGCTGGAGCTGCTGGTGCTGCTGACGCTGCTGGAGGTGCTGCTGGTGCTGCTGGTACTGCTGGTGCTGCTGGAGCTGCTGGAGGTGCTGCTGGTGCTGGGGCTGCTGGAGCTGCTGGAGGTGCTGCTTCTTCTGGAGGTGCTGCTGGTGCTGAGGACACGGGCGTTGGAGCTGCTGCTGGTGCTGCGGACCCGGGCGTTGGAGTTGCTGCTGGTGCTGCGGACCCTGGAGTCGGAGCTGCTGCTGGTGCTGAGGACCCTGGAGGTGGAGCTGCTGCTGGTGCTGAGGACCCTGACGCTGCGCGGCCGCGGCCGTACTTCGTTCCGCTCCTTCAGCAGGTTCTTGGTCAGCCTCCTCCTCCTTGTCCTCCTCCCTCCTTAGAGTGTCCTCCGTCTGTCCAGTCGCAGTCACAGTTACCGTCTGCCTCCCCTCTCCCTGGTCCTTCTCCTTACACTGGTCCGACTGGAGGTCTTACGGAGCGTCGTGAGCCTGAGTCTCGTCCTGCGTCGCCTGAGTCTCGTCGAGCGTCGCCTGTTCGTGCTGCTCACACTGGTCGTCGTGTCCCGCGTCAGCGTCCTCCTGCTGTCCCAGGCACTCACCAGATGGCGCTTCGTCCTTCCACTGCTCCCCAGCGTGTCCCTCTCCCGGCTCCTCCTGCGTCCTCTCTTCCTGCTCTTGCTGACCCTGAGTCTGACTCTCTTCGTGCTGCCAGTCCTACTGTCACGCGTCTCCTGGCTACTGTTGTCACTGACCCTTCCTTTGAGTCCACTGCTGCGTCTGCCTTAGTTGCCGAGCTTGTCGACTTTGCTGCCACTTGTCGTCTCGACTACGCCGCTAGCCTAGTTGCTGAGTCTGAGTCTGTCTGTCCTCCGTCCGTCGGGGGTGAGTGTGCTCTTGGCACGGACGTCCTTGAGGACAGGCAGGAGGAGTTTGAGTGCTTTGCCGCTGCTTTACCTCATCTCGTGTCCATGCTAGTTGCCCCTGAGGGAGACCCGGATGCACCAGACATCCCGACTCCGCGCTCTTACGCAGAGGCGATAGAGGGTCCCTACTCCTCTCAGTGGCAGACAGCCATGGACGCAGAGATGGCTTCCTGGAAGTCCACAGGCACCTACGTCGACGAGGTTCCCCCACCTGGGGCGAACATTGTCAGTGGCATGTGGATTTTCAGGGTGAAGCGGCCGCCGGGTTCTCCGCCTGTCTTCAAGGCGCGTTACGTTGCACGAGGCTTCAGTCAGCGAGAGGGAGTTGACTTCTTCCAGACCTTCTCCCCGACCCCGAAGATGACCACTCTTCGGGTTCTGCTGCACGTCGCCGCTCAGCGTGACTACGAGCTCCACTCTCTTGACTTCAGCACTGCTTTCCTACAGGGCAGCCTGCACGAGGAGATCTGGCTGCGCCGCCCACCTGGCTTCACTGGGTCGTTCCCTCCTGGTACCCAGTGGAGCCTCCGGCGGCCAGTCTACGGTCTCCGACAGGCGCCACGTGAGTGGCACGACACACTGAGGACTACACTTGCGGCTCTTGGGTTCGCTCCTTCTACTGCTGACCCGTCGCTGTTTCTACGCACCGACACCTCGCTGCCGCCGTTCTACATCCTCGTGTACGTTGACGACTTGGTCTTTGCCACTGCAGACACTGCGGCACTCGCCCACGTGAAGTCGGAGCTGCAGAAGAGACACACGTGCACAGACCTGGGTGAACTGACAAGCTATCTTGGCTTGCGGATCACCCGGGAAAGAGCACGGCGCACCATCACTTTGACTCAGTCACACATGGTGCAGCAGGTCCTTCAGCGCTTCCGCTTCACGTACTCCTCGCCTCAGCCCACTACTCTGCCTACCGGTTACTCGCTCTCAGCTCTGCCTTCGGATGAGTCCGTAGAGCCGAGTGGCCCGTATCCAGTGCTTGTGGGCTGCCTCATGTACCTGATGACCTGCACTCGACCTGACCTTGCATACCCTCTTCGCATCCTTGGACGCTATGTCGCTCCTGGCCGTCACCGGAAGGAGCACATGGATGCCGCTAAGAGGGTGTTGCGCTACTTGTGCAGTACGTCGGGCATGGGGCTAGTGCTTGGAGGACGAGACCGAGTTGTACTCACTGGGCACTCAGACGCGTCTTGGGCTGACGACCAGGCTACTCAGCGGTCGTCTCAGGGTTACACCTTCAGCCTTGGCTCTGGTTCAGTTTCTTGGCGTTCTACACGCTCGTCTTCTGTTCTCAGCTCCAGTTGTGAGGCTGAGATCTACGCCACAGCCATGGCTGCACAGGAGTTACGCTGGCTCTCCTACCTGCTGACCGACTTGGGAGAGCGGCCTCGTTCTCCTCCAGTGCTGTACGTCGACAACAAGGCTGCCATTGCCTTGTGTGAGGAGCACAGACTGGAGCACAGAATGAAGCATATCGCTCTGCGCTACTTCCTTGCTCGAGAGCTGCAGCAGCGCGGTCAGCTTCGTCTGCGTTACGTGGCCACTCGGGCCAACACTGCTGATGTGTTCACCAAGGCGCTTCAGCCTTGTGACCATCAGCGCTTCTGTACTGTTCTAGGCCTCGTGCCTACTGGGCCTCACTTGCTTACTTCTTGACTCTGCTTGTACTGTGATCTCTATATATATACCTGCTTGTTTACTCTTGCTAGGTTGTGATCACTGTATCTCTTGTTATACTATCAACCTGCATGTGAACTGGTCTTGTGACCACTTGCTTGTGCTCAGAATTTGTGTGGTTTCCTTGAGATCCACCCTGAGCTTGCTTTGCTTTGCTTTGACTGGTCTTGTGACCATCTGGTTGTCTCCCACTTAGCCTATGGGGGTGTGTCAAACATTATATGTTCATATTGTGTAGGCTATAGTGGGTTTAGCCTTAGGGGGTACAGCTTTGTTAGGGTTTCCTACTTGTATCCCCCTCCTACCTAGTTTCATCCATTCTCGTTCTATTCTAGATTCTAACACTGTACTCCAAGCCCACTAATGCTGTAGCACTCACATAGCGGACCAACCTCTTGACCGCTTTCAGCTGCTCATGACTGGGACGTGAAACCACACTGGCAAGCCTGGATGTTGCAAAGGCAATGTCAGGCCGCGTGTGGTTGGCCGCATAATTGAGTGCCCCCACCATCGAATGAAACAGCTTCCTGTCACTCTCACCCACCACCTCCTCATCAGCACAGGGCTCCACAGTGAACCCCGAAGGCAGTGGGGTTGCTGGCTTTCCTCCATCTTGCAGCCCATACTTCTCAGCCAGCCCCTCACAATACTTCCGCTGGTGCAACCTCAGCACTCCCTTGTCAAGGTCCCTCTCCACATGCATCCCCAAGTAGTACTCCACATCTCCCATCTTGGAGCACTTAAACTGGATCTCCAGCATCTCCTCCACACGCTCAATCATTGCAGATGACTCAGAGAAGAGCAGGATGTCGTCCACATACACCACGAGCATGAGAAACTGCTCCTTCTCTTGCAGCAGGAACAAGCTGTGATCACACTCGCTCTTCTTGAACCCCCCAGCCAGCAGTGTCTCCTCCAGCTTGTGGTACCATGCGCGAGGAGCCTGCTTCAGGCCATAGATGGCCTTCTTCAGCCTGCCGCTCCCATCATCGAATCCCTCAGGCTGTAACATGTACAGCTCCTCCAGAATGATCCCATTGAGAAAGGCGGTGGTAATGTCCATCTGCTTCACCCGCCATCCACGGTTTGCAGCCATTGCCAATGACACCCGCAGTGTTGTGCCTTTCCCCACAGGAGCAAATGAACAAGTGATGGAAAGGAGACACGGGGGCAGAAGAAGAGATGGAAATGAACAAGTGATGGAAAGGAGACACGGGGGCAGAAGAAGAGATGGAAATGAAGAAGAGATGGAAAGGAGACACGGGGGCAGAAGAAGAGATGGAAATGAACAAGTGATGGAAAGGAGACACGGGGGCAGAAGAAGAGATGGAAATGAACAAGTGATGGAAAGGAGACACGGGGGCAGAAGAAGAGATGGAAATGAACAAGAGATGGAAAGGAGACACGGGGGCAGAAGAAGAGATGGAAATGAACAAGTGATGGAAAGGAGACACGGGGGCAGAAGAAGAGATGGAAATGAACAAGTGATGGAAAGGAGACACGGGGGCAGAAGAAGAGATGGAAATGAACAAGTGATGGAAAGGAGACACGGGGGCAGAAGAAGAGATGGAAATGAACAAGTGATGGAAAGGAGACACGGGGGCAGAAGAAGAGATGGAAATGAACAAGTGATGGAAAGGAGACACGGGGGCAGAAGAAGAGATGGAAATGAACAAGTGATGGAAAGGAGACACGGGGGCAGAAGAAGAGATGGAAATGAACAAGTGATGGAAAGGAGACACGGGGGCAGAAGAAGAGATGGAAATGAACAAGTGATGGAAAGGAGACACGGGGGCAGAAGAAGAGATGGAAATGAACAAGTGATGGAAAGGAGACACGGGGGCAGAAGAAGAGATGGAAATGAACAAGTGATGGAAAGGAGACACGGGGGCAGAAGAAGAGATGGAAATGAACAAGTGATGGAAAGGAGACACGGGGGCAGAAGAAGAGATGGAAATGAACAAGTGATGGAAAGGAGACACGGGGGCAGAAGAAGAGATGGAAATGAACAAGTGATGGAAAGGAGACACGGGGGCAGAAGAAGAGATGGAAATGAACAAGTGATGGAAAGGAGACACGGGGGCAGAAGAAGAGATGGAAATGAACAAGTGATGGAAAGGAGACACGGGGGCAGAAGAAGAGATGGAAATGAACAAGTGATGGAAAGGAGACACGGGGGCAGAAGAAGAGATGGAAATGAACAAGTGATGGAAAGGAGACACGGGGGCAGAAGAAGAGATGGAAATGAACAAGTGATGGAAAGGAGACACGGGGGCAGAAGAAGAGATGGAAATGAACAAGTGATGGAAAGGAGACACGGGGGCAGAAGAAGAGATGGAAATGAACAAGTGATGGAAAGGAGACACGGGGGCAGAAGAAGAGATGGAAATGAACAAGTGATGGAAAGGAGACACGGGGGCAGAAGAAGAGATGGAAATGAACAAGTGATGGAAAGGAGACACGGGGGCAGAAGAAGAGATGGAAATGAACAAGTGATGGAAAGGAGACACGGGGGCAGAAGAAGAGATGGAAATGAACAAGTGATGGAAAGGAGACACGGGGGCAGAAGAAGAGATGGAAATGAACAAGTGATGGAAAGGAGACACGGGGGCAGAAGAAGAGATGGAAATGAACAAGTGATGGAAAGGAGACACGGGGGCAGAAGAAGAGATGGAAATGAACAAGTGATGGAAAGGAGACACGGGGGCAGAAGAAGAGATGGAAATGAACAAGTGATGGAAAGGAGACACGGGGGCAGAAGAAGAGATGGAAATGAACAAGTGATGGAAAGGAGACACGGGGGCAGAAGAAGAGATGGAAATGAACAAGTGATGGAAAGGAGACACGGGGGCAGAAGAAGAGATGGAAATGAACAAGTGATGGAAAGGAGACACGGGGGCAGAAGAAGAGATGGAAATGAACAAGTGATGGAAAGGAGACACGGGGGCAGAAGAAGAGATGGAAATGAACAAGTGATGGAAAGGAGACACGGGGGCAGAAGAAGAGATGGAAATGAACAAGTGATGGAAAGGAGACACGGGGGCAGAAGAAGAGATGGAAATGAACAAGAGATGGAAAGGAGACACGGGGGCAGAAGAAGAGATGGAAATGAACAAGTGATGGAAAGGAGACACGGGGGCAGAAGAAGAGATGGAAATGAACAAGTGATGGAAAGGAGACACGGGGGCAGAAGAAGAGATGGAAATGAACAAGTGATGGAAAGGAGACACGGGGGCAGAAGAAGAGATGGAAATGAACAAGTGATGGAAAGGAGACACGGGGGCAGAAGAAGAGATGGAAATGAACAAGTGATGGAAAGGAGACACGGGGGCAGAAGAAGAGATGGAAATGAACAAGTGATGGAAAGGAGACACGGGGGCAGAAGAAGAGATGGAAATGAACAAGTGATGGAAAGGAGACACGGGGGCAGAAGAAGAGATGGAAATGAACAAGTGATGGAAAGGAGACACGGGGGCAGAAGAAGAGATGGAAATGAACAAGTGATGGAAAGGAGACACGGGGGCAGAAGAAGAGATGGAAATGAACAAGTGATGGAAAGGAGACACGGGGGCAGAAGAAGAGATGGAAATGAACAAGTGATGGAAAGGAGACACGGGGGCAGAAGAAGAGATGGAAATGAACAAGTGATGGAAAGGAGACACGGGGGCAGAAGAAGAGATGGAAATGAACAAGTGATGGAAAGGAGACACGGGGGCAGAAGAAGAGATGGAAATGAACAAGTGATGGAAAGGAGACACGGGGGCAGAAGAAGAGATGGAAATGAACAAGTGATGGAAAGGAGACACGGGGGCAGAAGAAGAGATGGAAATGAACAAGTGATGGAAAGGAGACACGGGGGCAGAAGAAGAGATGGAAATGAACAAGTGATGGAAAGGAGACACGGGGGCAGAAGAAGAGATGGAAATGAACAAGTGATGGAAAGGAGACACGGGGGCAGAAGAAGAGATGGAAATGAACAAGTGATGGAAAGGAGACACGGGGGCAGAAGAAGAGATGGAAATGAACAAGTGATGGAAAGGAGACACGGGGGCAGAAGAAGAGATGGAAATGAACAAGTGATGGAAAGGAGACACGGGGGCAGAAGAAGAGATGGAAATGAACAAGTGATGGAAAGGAGACACGGGGGCAGAAGAAGAGATGGAAATGAACAAGTGATGGAAAGGAGACACGGGGGCAGAAGAAGAGATGGAAATGAACAAGTGATGGAAAGGAGACACGGGGGCAGAAGAAGAGATGGAAATGAACAAGTGATGGAAAGGAGACACGGGGGCAGAAGAAGAGATGGAAATGAACAAGTGATGGAAAGGAGACACGGGGGCAGAAGAAGAGATGGAAATGAACAAGTGATGGAAAGGAGACACGGGGGCAGAAGAAGAGATGGAAATGAACAAGTGATGGAAAGGAGACACGGGGGCAGAAGAAGAGATGGAAATGAACAAGAGATGGAAAGGAGACACGGGGGCAGAAGAAGAGATGGAAATGAACAAGTGATGGAAAGGAGACACGGGGGCAGAAGAAGAGATGGAAATGAACAAGTGATGGAAAGGAGACACGGGGGCAGAAGAAGAGATGGAAATGAACAAGTGATGGAAAGGAGACACGGGGGCAGAAGAAGAGATGGAAATGAACAAGTGATGGAAAGGAGACACGGGGGCAGAAGAAGAGATGGAAATGAACAAGTGATGGAAAGGAGACACGGGGGCAGAAGAAGAGATGGAAATGAACAAGTGATGGAAAGGAGACACGGGGGCAGAAGAAGAGATGGAAATGAACAAGTGATGGAAAGGAGACACGGGGGCAGAAGAAGAGATGGAAATGAACAAGTGATGGAAAGGAGACACGGGGGCAGAAGAAGAGATGGAAATGAACAAGTGATGGAAAGGAGACACGGGGGCAGAAGAAGAGATGGAAATGAACAAGTGATGGAAAGGAGACACGGGGGCAGAAGAAGAGATGGAAATGAACAAGTGATGGAAAGGAGACACGGGGGCAGAAGAAGAGATGGAAATGAACAAGTGATGGAAAGGAGACATGCTAAGTGGCAAGGCAGGCAGTGTGGCAGAGCAGGTGGGCGCACCTCTTGCCATTGCTGCTCGTGAGCTTGGCGCTCCTGCTGCTGCTGCTGTTGCCACACGCACTCCCACCCGATGACCCGCTGCCTCCCCCCATGCCTCCTCCGCCCATGCCTCCGCCGCCCATGCCTCCTCCGCCCATGCCTCCTCCGCCCATGCCTCCTCCGCCCATGCCTCCTCCGCCCATGCCTCCGCCGCCCATGCCTCCTCCGCCCATGCCTCCACCGCCCATGCCTCCTCCGCTCATGCCTCCTCCGCCCATACCTCCTCCGCTCATGCCTCCTCCGCCCATTCCCCCTCCGCCCATGCCTCCGCCGCCCATGCCTCCTCCACCCATGCCTCCGCCGCCCATGCCTCCACCGCCCATGCCTCCTCCGCCCATGCCTCCTCCGCGCATGCTTCCTCCTCCCATGCCTCCTCCGCCCATTCCCCCTCCGCCCATACCTCCGCCCATACCTCCACCGCCCATACTTCCTCCGCCCATACCTCCTCCGCCCATGCCTCCTCCGCCCGCACTACCCGTTTGTCCGCTCATCCCGCCACCTCCTTGCGCGCCAAACCCACCGTGCCCGCTCTGCCCGCCGCTCGTCGCTCCACTTCCGTCGCCGCCGCCGGGTCGCGGGGGGCGGAAGAAGGACCAGCCTCCGCGTGTTCCCGATCCCCCCACCAAGCCGCCGAACCTTGGAAGGCCGAGCGAGCGCGCGCTGCAAGCCGCGTGATCCATGCCCGCGAAGCAGAGGAGCGCGACGAGCGCGAGGGCCGGGACGACGCGGGACGAGGCGAGGCGAAGCGACATCATGGCGGGCGGAGAGTAATCCTAAAACGCTCTAGACGCGAATGGATGCGAATGGGAGTGGTGGGAGGGACGACGGCGGTTTCAGTCGAAGCCCTCGTGGCCGTGACGTTGCTGGGATGGGCGAGGAAGACTCGAGAAGCGTGGCGTGAAAAGAAACCTGCGAGGCAGCGCTGCGGATTGCATCCAGGGAGGTCGCTATTTGTACTTCCTCTGCCATCCCCGCCGCTGCCATGAACCCAAGACGCTCGCCGTGCGCGCATTAGGAGAAACTGATGCGCTGTTTGACTGTTGGGACAACCAGATGGATCTGGGAGTCAATGCGAATCCAGTCAACGGTGTGGAACTGTTGACTGACGCTTGGGGGAAGTGAGTGAGTCAGCGTCTGTCGTGAGAGTGCTTGCACCGAGTTACAGAATAAATTAGGTCTGATTACATGGCACATGTATTAGATACGGTATATCACTTTCTAAACTGAGTACCTATTACGGGTACGATTGAACAAGCGAAGCTAGTAAGCTTGAAATGATTACAAGAAAAGGCACCGCCCTCGCTTGGGAGAAGGTTCCCCTGTCCGGTGCACAAATTTGTGCAGACGGATGCGTTTCGTCGTCGACGCCTACTTCGAGGGACCTTTATCTGTCAAAATATACATTTCTTAGTTTGTAGGCTACAGTGAGGTGCACTATAGAGGGTACAACCCATTTAGGGTTTCCGACTTGTATCTTACTGTTCCGAGTCCAATCCATTCTGTGCTACTTCATTCTAACATGGTTTCAGAGAAGTTAGCTCCTTAGGACCGTTATTTTTTTCATGGACCCACCGTTGGTTGTACCCCACACTGCCCCGTGCGTCGCCACTACCCCGCACCTCACGCCGCCCCGCGCGGCCCCTGCCCCGCGCGGCCCGCTTCCCTGCGCGCTGCTGCTACGTGCGCCCCTACCCCTCGAGCTGCTGCCCCGCGTGCGCCGCTGCTCCTCGCGCTGGTGCCGCGCTGCCCCGCGAGCTACTCCACACGTGCAGCTGTCCCGCAAGATCCGCTGCCCCGCTGCTATCGCACACTGCTGCTACGCGCTTCGCAGCCCCGCGTGCTGCTGGTGCGTGTGCCGCTGTCTCGTGCGCCCCGCTGCCCCGTGTCAGAATGTGGAGAGTCTGCAGAGGAGCAATGGTCGGAGGAAACGATGAGGTGTGAGGAGAGGCGCGCTGCCGCCCCTCAGCGCAGGGAAGGCATGGCGGTGCAAGCGACCGCGGGAGCGGGGGTAGGGCCTGGGGAGGCCAGAGACAAGGAGACGGGAGTGCATGCTACGCAAACGCGGAGGGGAGGGGTGACCCAGACGGTGGTGCCAGAGGAGAGACGGGTGCATGAGTAACTGACACGAGCAAGATGCAACAACCTGACCGGACGCAGCTACCTGTGCAGACTCATTGGTCAGTTCATATAGGCCAGACCCGGGTCTCCGAGTGAACGTGGCGAGGTGGGCGCTTGTCCGTGAGTTCGTACGGATCGCCACAAGCTCACCCCCAAGAGTAGTGACAGTGACAAACTGGTACTGGAGGACAGCGTTACTCACCATGTTCGTAGCGAAAGAGGGGAGGTGGAGACATGTGAGTGAGCCGGAAGGGGCTGCCGGACACGGGAGAACGGTGGAGGCACGTGCTACGACTGGGTCCCCGGAGGGGTCAGCCAGAGTGACCGGGACAGGTGCAGTGAGCGGTATGACTGTGGTGCAGTGGCGGAAGAAGCAGCGAGACGCGCGTGAGTTAAACGTGAAGGTGTGCAAAGCCTTCGCAGGAGCTGCACCTGAGCTAGCAAGCTCACATGAACCTAGACTCGTAGCCTCTACACCACCAGAGACGCGTCGCTAGGAAACCCACTCTCGAATCTGCTGCGGCGAGAGGGTCTCCGGCGGACGCAGCTGCCGCACCCGACCACCCCCATAAATGTCACCTCCACAAGTGGCGCCACATGCAGGAGCAGACGTACAGGTACCTACACTCGTCTCCTCGACCAGCAGCTGCACCTCCCCTAACAACGAACGCCGCTGCTGCAGAGGCTGGGTGGCAAGAGAGAGGTAGGATTAGTGTCTAACAACAGTGTCGAACAAAGTCTGGGCCGATATCACCTGACGAAAGTGGGCCCATCGGTCGACCGGCAGGAGAACTCGGACGGCACGCTGTGCGACAGCGACGCGCTCCGTCTGCTGTCTGTAGGCAAGGTTGTCCACCCGGTACCGCCTATACACGTCCTCGCCAGCGTCAGTAGCAGGTTCAGTGGGAGTTGTGGGGGCCTGAAGGGACCACGACGCGTTCTCGAGCAGAAAGACGCAATCTCGAATGAAACGCCGGAGATACACGCGCAGGCACGTAAGCCACAACCCTAACTTGTAAAAGCGTCCGTCTGCGTCAACCGCTAAGACCGGCTGCGTAGCCATGACGGGCAGTGGCAATCAGCAGCAGCGGCGCAAGGGCTGCAGTGGCAGCAGTAGTGGTAGCGGGGGACAGTTGTAGTGGTAGCAGCAGCTGCTCTAGTGAGAGGTGCTGGGACTGTGGCAGCTGTAGTGGCAAGGGTAGTGCGCGAGCAGCAGGGTGTGCGGGGCGCGAGGCAGCAGGGTGCACAGGGCGCGCGGTCAGCAGGGCGCACTAGCAGCAGGGCGCGCAGGGCGCTTGGGTAGCAGGGCGTGCGCGGACAGCAGGGCGCGCGCGGATTGCAGGGCGCGCTGGCAATAGGGCGCGTGCAGGCAGTTGGCGATGCGGGCAGCAGGCGCACGCAGGGCGCGTGGGCAGTAGGGCGTGCGGTGCGCGCTGGCAACAGAGCGCGCGTGGATAACAGGGCGCGCTGGCAGCAGGGTGCGCGCGGGCAGCAAGCGACGCGTGCTGCAGGGCGCGCGTGCAGCAGGCGACGCGGGCTGCAGGCGCGCGCGGGCTGCAGGGCACGCAGGGCGTGCGGGCAGCTGGGCGCGCGGGGCGCGAGGCGCGGGGCAGCAGGGTGAATAGGGCGCGTGGGCAGCAGGGCGCACGCGGGGCGCAGGGCAGCAGGGCGCACTGGCAGCATGGCACGCACGGGCCGCAAGGCGCACGTGGGCAGCAGGCGATGCAGGCAGCAGAGGCGCGCACGAGCTGCAGGGCGCGCGGGCAGCAGGACGCGCAGGGCGCAGGTAACAGAGCGCGCGGGACGGGGGCAGCGCAGGCACGGGCAGGTCGCGGGCAGCTGCACGCGCGGGTATTGCCTAGGGCAGCCCGCTGGCAGCGTGTGGGGCAGGGCAAGTTCGAACGCGTGGGGCAGGGCAGCTCTAGCGGGCGGCCGGGTCGCGATCGGTGGGGGCAGGGCAGAACGAACAGTGGGCCCTTAAAAAATCATTCGGTCCTAGGGACCTACATGCTCTGAAACCATGTCATAATCTAGTGAGCACGAATGAATGAACTATGAGAATGTTGGGTACAAGTACTAACCCTAATGGGTTATACCCCTTGTAGGCTACCACACAAACATACAGTTTTGACACCCCTCTGCCGCGTACGCAGCTGCCTTGTGCGTTGCTACTGCGTGCGCCGCCACCCCGCGCACCTCTGCCCCGCACGCCCCTGATGCCCGAGCGCCTTCCACAGCCGCTGCAGCCGCCACTGCTGCCGCCGCCGTTGCTGCAGCTACAGTCGCAGCTACTGCCGCTGCTACGGCCGCCGCTGCTACTACTGCGTGTCCGCCGTTGTCTCTGCTACAGCCGCCGCTGCCGCCGTCGCTGCTGCTACAACCGCCACGGCCACAGCCACTAATGCTACAGCCGCCGCTGCCGCCGCCGCTGCAGCTACAGCCATTGCTGCAGCTGCCGCCCCTACCACTATTTCCGCTACAACTGCCGCAGCTGCTACCGCTACAACCACCGCTGCTGCCGCTGCAGCCGCCGCCCCCACCACTGCTGTCGCTAAAGCTACAGCCGCAACCGCTACTGCTGCAGCCGCTGCCCCTGCTATAGCTGCCGCCCCCAGTGCTGCTACTGCAGCCGCCGCTGTCACCACTGCCGCTGCCGCCCTTCCACCAATGCTGATGACTGCCGCCGCCTTCGATGGCGAAGCCTACTGTACTCACCTTTGACGCTGAGGGCCGCCCGATCGAGTGGGAGTCATGGCTGCTAGACCCCCACCTGTACCTACAGAGCGTTGACACCTCATTCTTTTAGCACACGACGGGGTCCCTATCTGCCCCTGCTGAGCCAACTGACCCTGGCACTGCCGCTACAGCCGATCAGCGCCAGCAGTTTAGGACTGACCGTATTGCCCCTACACAGTGGTTAGCACGTGATGCTACTGCTCAGCTTGCAGTCTGCAACCACCTCATGCCGGACCAGAGGTCCCACTTTCGCCAGCTGAAAACAGCGAAGACGCTCAATGACGCTGTAGTTAAGCGCTACTGCTCCCCCTCTTTTGCCACCCTAGGCCGTCTTCTGCTGAAGTTCCTCTTCACCTGCGCTCCCTTGTCACGCGCTACCGTGCTGCTCTCAAGCTAGACTTTCTGGATGAGAACCAGGCCCCCGTGCATCTCACTCTCTACTTTCTCACGACTTGCCTCCCTGACTCTCTTCGCACCGTTAGAGACCTCTTCCTCTCCATAGACCCCACCGAGCTCACCCTTGCCTCGTTTGAGTCCCGTCTCCTCGAGGCTGAGACCACTGCCTGTGCTGTACCTGCCTCCTGTGGCACTCCCCGCCCCTACTTCTTTGAGGGGTACTCCCCTTCCCTCCTAACGCCTGCTATTGCCTTTGCTGCTGCTATTGACCTCCCTGGTGCTGAGGAGGTCGGTGATGTCTATACACCTAGTGGGAGGCGCCGTGGCAAGGGTGCGCGTGCAAGGGGTGGGGGTGGTGGGGGTGGAAGAGGTGGCGGTAGCGGTGGCGGTGGCGTTGGAGGTGCCGGGGGTGGTGGAGGCAGTGGGAGTGGCGGGGGTGGTGGAGGGGGCTCGAGTGGCGGTCGACGTCGAGCTAGCGGGGTGGATGCCAGGGAGCTGCGTCTGGTGGTGCAACTGGTGGAGGCGGAGGCTCTGCGGGTGGGCAGCAGCAGCAGTTACGTCGGTGGGAAACTCCCTCGCCGCAGCAGCAACGTAAGAGGGTTGGCCCAGCGAGCCGGCCCTGGAGGCGGAGATCGTTGCGAGTACTGTCGGAATCTACCCTCAGTCCTCCCAGTCTCCAAGTACTGCTGCCTTGCCCAACGTTGCAGCTACCGCTGGATGCCTCTTCACCTGTTACCTCCTCTTGCTCCTCTGTACCTTGCTCAAGAGCTCTGCTTTACTCCCTTCTGGCCTACATCCCCACTCTCTCCCTTCCCACCTTCTCTTACTCATCACCCCACCTTGTCATCCTCCCTTCCACCTGCTACCCCTAACATCCTCCCTTCCACCTGCGTCCCCCGTCATCCTCCCTTCCACCTCCGTCCCCCGTCATCCTCCCTTCCACCTGCGTCCCCGGTCATCCTCCCTTCCACCTGCGTCCCCTGTCATCCTCCCTTCCACCTGCGTCCCCTGTCATCCTGCCTTCCACCTGCGTCCCATGTCATCCTCCCTTCCACCTGCGTCCCCTGTCATCCTCCCTTCCACCTGCGTCCCCTCTCATCCTCCCTTCCACCTGCGTCCCCTCTCATCCTCCCTTCCACCTGCCACCCCTGTAATCCTCCCTTCAACCTGTGTCCCCTGTCATCCTCCCTTCCACCTGCCACCCCTGTCATCCTCCCTTCCCCCTGTCACCCCTGCCATCCTCCCCCGCCCCTGTCGTCCTGCCTTCCCCCCTGCCGCCCCTGTCGTCCTCCCTCCCCCCTGCCGCCCCTGTCGTCCTCCCTCCCCCCTTCCGCCCCTGTCGTCCTCCCTCTCCCCTGCCGCCCCTGTCGTCATCCCTCCCCCCTACCGTCCCTATCGTCCTCCCTCCCCCATACCGCCCCTGTCGTCCTCCCTCCCCTCTGCCGCCCCTGTCGTCCTCCCTCCCCCCTGCCGCCCCTATCGTCCTCCCTCCCCCCTGCCGCCCCTGTCGTCCTCCCTCCTTTCTGCCGCCCCTGTCGTCCTCCCTCTCCGCTGCCACCCCTGTCGTCCTCCCTCCCCCTTGCCGCCCCTGTCGTCCTCCCTCCCCGCTACCGCCCCTGTCGTCCTCCCTCCCCTCTGCCGCCCCTGTCGTCCTCCCTCCCCCCTGCCGCCCCTGTCGTCCTCCCTCCCCCCTGCCGCCCCTGTCGTCCTCCCTCCCCCTCTGCCGCCCCTATCATCCTCCCTCCTCCCTGCCGCCCCTGTCGTCCTCAGCCGCGTCGCCAAACTCTGCACGCCAGGCGTCGCTCAGACAGGAGAAGCAGCGGGATTGTGTGTGACCAACTGTCCCACAAGTCTGACCAGCCCGATCACCTGTGCGAATGACGTACGGGCAGCGAGCAGTACTCCGAGACGCCCCACTCTGAGCATACCACTCACGAAGCTGCTGGAGCGTAAGGGTCTCGCGCAGACGCCGCTGCGGCTTCATCTGGCCACCACCAGAAACTCCCGACTGAACAGCTCCACGGCGACAGCTACTACGGCCGCCGCCACCACTCCAACTAGCGTACCACTCACGAAGCTGCTGGGGCGTGAGGGTCTTGCGCGGACGCCACTGGAGCTGCATCTGGCCACCGCCAGAAACTCCCCACCAAACAGCTCCACCGAGACTGCCACTACGGCCGCCGCCACCACTCCCACTGCTGCCACCACCGCCGCCACCACTCTCACCGCTACCTCGAAGAGACGTCATAGTGGGCAAAGCAAGGAGGCGTGCGACCAGCACGGCAGCACGTAGGGAAGGCAGGGTGGCGAGCACGCACTAGGGTAGGTCGGGGCGGCACACAGTCAGGGATGGGCGGTGCGCGGCCAGAGCAGGGCGGCGCGCTGCAAGTAGGGCGGCGTGCGGGCAGGGGAGGGCGCGCGGGCAGGCAAGGGCAGCGCGCGGACTGCAGAGGGCGGCGCGCGGGCTGCCAAGGCGGACGCGACGGGCAGGGGCAGGGCGGAGCGCGGGCAGCAGGGCGTCGCGCGGGCTGCAGCGGGCGGCGCACGGGCAGGCTGGGCCAGCGCGCTGATAGGCAGGGGCGACGCGGCGGGCTGGGGCAGCCTGCACCCTAAGGCACACGAGAAACCATCTCCATGCCACAACGTGCTACACTAACCTGGCCCCCATGTGCCACTCCTGCAGTGCCATTCCCTAGTCTTGGAATGCCGGAAGCAGCATTGAGGCCAAAGGAGTGGACTGTGGAATGCAGGCAGGCCCGCTGAGGAACGAGGGTGGGTGGGTGATGTGGGCAGGTGGCATGGCATGCGTGGGATCATGCTGCCTGCACTGCCGCCAGGGATGAGTAGTCATATTGCTCTGTAAGCGATGAAATGGGGGATATTGGGGGGAGAGGAGGATGGATGAGCAGACGGTGCCTAATTAGGAACGAGACGAGGGAGGTGAGGAGCCGAGATGAGAGGAGGGGACAGGATAGGAGAGAAGAGGAGAGGAGAGAAGAGGAGAAGAGAGGAGAGGAGAGGAGAGGGGAAAAGAGGAGAGGAGAGGAGAGTAGAGGACAGAGGGAAAAAAAAGATGATAGGAGAGGAGAGAGGAAATTAAATACTGCAATTTAGGACAGAGGCCGCGGGCTTTAGGAGAGAGGAAATTAAATACTGCAAACAATTTAGGACAGAGGACACTATTTAAAACTTGACGAAATAGTGTTTGCAAGGTTTGAAAAAAAGCGCGCCTGCAATTTGGGACTTTCGGGGACTGAACCAACCCCAGGGCGAAATACGAGGGCGGGCAGGGTTTGGCGAAAAAAACGAAAGAGCCGAAATCGAAAACGTTCGCCAAACCCCAGACCAGAAAAATCCCCTTCGCGTCAAGCTTTTAAAAGTTGTGCAATTTGAGCTGCCGGCTTTAAAGGAGATGACAGAAGAGGGGAAAAAGAGAGGAGAGGCGACGAGAGGAAAGGATGAGGCGAAGAGAGGAGGGGAAGACAAGGCAAAGAGAGCACCAGCGAGGAGAGAAGATGAGGTTCCGGGGTGACAAAGGCGGCATGTGTGTAATAAGGTAGCCTTGCTGAGGTTCAGGGGTGCACACAGCCACAGCCGTCGCCACTCACTGGTGGCCTTGCTGCACGAAGCAGAGCCGAGGGTGCCCCAGTCAGAGGAGGCGACGCAGCCCTTGAGGCAAGCCACAGTGTAGGGCGCCGTGCTGCTGGCGTGGTAGTGGTAGAACGCCGGCTCGCCACCACTGCCGTCGCCCACGTGCCCCCCACACTCGTCCACCCCTGCCGGCAGCTCTCCCCCTGCTCCCCGCGGGCCGAACAGCGGAATGCCGTCCGCCAGGAAGCACAGCAGCGGCGAGTGCTGCCCGCGCACGTCCTGCCAGAAGGACGAGCTGGGGGGGGGAAGGGGGCAGGGGAGGAGGGGGGGCGGAGAGAAGGGGAGGTGAATGGTTGGGATGGCAGGAATGCTACGAGGTGAATAACACAAGGCCGCGCATGGGGCATGGATGAAGCATGGTTGGCTATGGAAGGAGTGGAGGTTGCAGGCGAGAAGGTGGGAACGGGGGAACTGGAAGAAAGGGGTAATGGGGGAATGGGGGAACGCACTTGCAGAGGTTGAAGTTGGTGGAGCGAGATTCGGAGATGGCAGAGGGGTTGGCGACGCCGGGTGCGACGTGGTAGTGGTACTGGCCCGAGGGCGTGGGGTGCCCCCCACACGAGTCAAAGGTGGAGCCCTCGTACTGCAAGGCGTCACGGCCCAGGGCGTCACACGCACTGCGAGGGGGAGAGGGAGAGGGAGACACGGGGAGGCGCAATGCGGGCGTGAGGTGGCAGGCACACCCACAAGGGCTCCCACGCTTCTTCCTACTGCCAAGCATGGCACACATAGGGAGCAGTATGGGCGGCCCAGTGGGGAACGGGATGGTGCAGAATATGGATGATGGAATGTGAGCCCAGTGGCCCTACCGTCTCCCCCTTCCCTCCACCTCTCCCCCCTTCCCTCCACCTCTCCCCCCTTCCCTCCACCTCTCCCCCCTTCCCGCTGACCTGTAGAAGGGCACGCCGTTGAGTGCGAAGCCAATGGGCCCCATCTTGCACGTGCCGCTGAGGGCCACGGGCGTGGCAAAGGCGGCGAGCGTGGGCGCGAGCGGCACAGCGAAGGAGAGCGCCTGCTGCAGGGGCGAGTACAGCGTGGCCTGCACTCGCCATGCGTACCCCGGACACCCGTTGCTCTCCATCACCCTGCCACGCCCGGGAGAAGCGGGCCAAGGGAACAAGGCAGGGGGATTAGGGTACGGGGAAGAGGGCAGGGGGAACAAGGCAGGGGGAACAAGGCAGGGGGGTAGGGAGTAGAGAGTGATGGAAAGGAGACACGGGGGCAGAAGAAGAGATGGAAATGAACAAGTGATGGAAAGGAGACACGCGTGCATGCTAAGTGGCAAGGCAGGCAGTGTGGCAGAGCAGGTGGGCGCACCTCTTGCCATTGCTGCTCGTGAGCTTGGCGCTCCTGCTGCTGCTGCTGTTGCCACACGCACTCCCACTCGATGACCCGCTGCCTCCCCCCATGCCTCCTCCGCCCATGCCTCCGCCGCCCATGCCTCCTCCGCTCATGCCTCCTCCGCCCATGCCTCGTCCATTCATGCCTCCTCCGCCCATTCCCCCTCCGCCCATGCCTCCGCCGCCCATGACCCCCTCCACCCATGCCTCCGCCCAGCGCACGGGCAGCAGGGCGTGCAGTGCGCGCTGGCAGCAGGGCGCGTGCGGACAACAGGGCGTGCTGGCAGCAGGGAGCATGCGGGCAGCAAGCGACGCGGGCTGCAGGGCGCGCGTGCAGCAGGCGACGCAGGCTGCAGGGCACGCAGGGCGCGCGGGGCGCGAGGCGCGGGGCAGTAGGGTGCACAGGGCACGTGGGCAGCAGGGCACACGCGGGGCACAGGGCAGCAGGGCGCGCTGGCAGTATGGCGCGCACGGGCCCCAAGGCGCACGTGGGCAGCAGGCGATGCGGGCAGCAGAGGTGCACACGAGCTGCAGGGCGCGCGGGCAGCAGGACGCGCAGGGCGCAGGTAGTAGAGTGCGCGGGGCGCGGGCAGCGCAGGCATGGGCAGGTCGCAGGCAGCTGCACGCGCGGGTATTGCCTAGGGCAGCGCGCTAGCAGCGTGTGGGGCAGGGCAAGTTCGAACGCGTGGGGTAGGGCGGCTCTAGCGGGCGGCCGGGTCGCGATCGGTGGGGGCAGGGCAGAAAGACGGGCAGGGCATAACGAACAGTGGGCCCATAAAAAAACATTCGGTCCTTGGGACCTACATGCTCTGAAACCATGTCAGAATCTAGTGAGCAGGAATGAATGAACTATGAGAATGTTGGGGACAAGTACTAGCCATAATGGGTTATACCACTTGTAGGCTACCACACAAACATACAGTTTTGACACCTCGCTGCCGCGTACGCAGCTAGCTGCCTTGTGCGCTGCTACTGCGTGCGCTGCCACCCCGCGCGCCCCTAATGCCCGAGCGCCTTCCACATCCGCTGCAGCCGCCACTGCTGCCACCGCCGTTGCTGTAGCTACAGTCGGAGCTACTGCCGCCGCTACGGCCGCCGCTGCGACTACTGCTCGTCCGCCGCTGCCGCCGTTGTCCCTGCTACAGCCGCCGCTGCCGCCGCCGCTGCGGCTACAACCGCCATTGCCACTGCCGCTACTGCTACAGCCGTCGCTGCTGCTACAACCGCCGCTGCCGCCGCCGCTGCAGCTACAGCCATCGCTGCAGCTGCCGCCCCTGCTACTATTTCTGCTACAACTGCCGCAGCTGCTACCGCTACAACCACCGCTACTGCCGCTGCAGCCGCCGCCCCCACCACTGCTGCCGCATCAGCTACAGCCGCAACCGCTACTGCTGCAGCCACTGCCCTTGCTATAGCCGCCGCCGCCAGTGCTGCTACTGCAGCCGCCGCTGTCACCACTGCTGCTGCCGCCCTTGCACCAATGCTGCTGACTGCCGCTGCCTTCCATGGCGACGCCTACTGTACTCACCTTTGACACTGAGGGCCGCTCGATTGAGTACAAGTCCTGGCTGCTAGACCCCCACCTGTACCTACAGAGCGTTGATGCCTCATTCTTTTAGCACACGATGGGGTCCCTATCTGCACCTGCTGAGCCAACTGACCATGTCACTGCCGCTACTGCCGATCAGCGCCAGCAGTTTAGGACTGACCGTATTGCCCATACACAGTGGTTAGCACGTGATGCTACTGCTCAGCATGCAGTCCGCAACCACCTCCCACTTTCGCCAGCTGAAAGTGGCAAAGACGCTCTATGACGCTGTAGTTAAGCGCTACTGCTCCCCCTATTCTGCCACCCTAGGCCGTCTTCTGCTAACGTTCCCCTTAACCTGCGCTCCCTTGACACGCGCTACCGTGCTGCTCTCAAGCTAGACTTTCTGGATGAGAACCAGCCCCCCGTGTATCTCACTCTCTACTTTCTCACGACTCGCCTGCTTGACTCTCTTCGCACCGTTAGAGACCTCTTCCTCTCCCTAGACCCCACCGAGCTCACCCTTGCCTCGTTTGAGTCCCGCCTCCTCGAGGCTGACACCAATACCTGTGCTGTACCTGCCTCCCGTGGCACTTCCCGCCCCTACTTCTTTGAGGGGTGCTCCCCTTCCCTCCTAACGCCTGCTATTGCCTCTGCTGCTGCTGTTGACCTCCCTGGTGCTGAGGAGGTCGGTGCTGCCTCTGCTCCTAGTGGGAGGCGCCGTGGCAAGGGTGCGCGTGTAAGGGGTGGGGCCGGTGGGGGTGGAAGAGGTGGCAGTAGCGGTGGCGGTGGCGTTGGAGGTGCCGGGGGTGGTGGAGGCAGTGGGAGTGGTGGGGGTGGTGGAGGGGGCTCGGGTGGCGGACGACGTGGAGCTAGCGGGGTCGATGCCAAAGCGCTGCGTCTGGTGGTGCAACTGGTGGAGGCGGAGGCTCTGGGGGTGGGCAGCAGCAGCAGTTACGTCGGCGGGAAACTCTCTCGCCGCAGCAGCAACGTAAGTGGGTTTGCCCAGCGAGCCGGCCCTGGAGGCGGAGATCGTTGCGAGTACTGTCGGAATCTACCCTCAGTCCTCCCAGTCTCCAAGTACTGTTGCCTTGCCCAACGTTGCAGCTACCGCTCGATGCCTCTTCACCTGTTACCTCCTCTTGCTCCTCTGTACCTTGCTCAGGAGCTCTGCTTTACTCCCTTCCGGCCTACATCCCCACTCTCTCCCTTCCCACCTTCTCTTACTCATCACCCCACCTTGTCATCCTCCCTTCCACCTGCTACCCCTAACATCCTCCCTTCCACCTGCGTCCCCTGTCATCCTCCCTTCCACCTCCATCCCCCGTCATCCTCCCT